GACGAGGCCAACCCTCAAAGACTAGCCATTAATCAAAGTCTTTGAACTAGAGTGTCCCATTTTCTGGCTTCACTGCATTGCACAAGAGGTGTTGAAGTCAAGCATTAGTAACAAGGCAAGCATGCACATAATGAAAAAAGAAATAAGAGGAAGAAATTTCACTGCAAACGAGAACATATTGTTTGGAATGGCCTGTGTAGATAGTGCCTTTAATATTCACCACAACTCAATATGGATAATGTTTACTCGTAAATTTTAGAAGTGTGCGCACCGAAGGGCAGTCTCTTTCACTTTCAAGGACTTAGGGCTGAGCGCTTACAACCGGTTATGCATATATTCAGCAAAGGTCTTCTAAAAACAAACTGGTACAAAGTAAACAGGTAAGGGGGCAGGTCAGTGATCGATATCAATCCAAACAAAAGAGGTTTATGGTCTTCTTCAAAGGAGCCTTGAAGAAGACTAGTCCACTTGTCCAAACGTTGGCTTTAGCGCCAACACATGTTCGTGATTTCTCTCAAGGTACGATTGATGGGTTCGAGTTCCTGTGCTACTGTCATGGGGTCGTGATGTGGATGAAGTCAGCAGACTCAATGTTCGGATTTCAGCCCATTTTGTGGCTAGGAAACTGAACCACAGATTACAGCAACACACAGGCACTGATAGGAGCTAACAGAGCGTCAACCAGTGATCAACTGATTAGCCGTGAAGCACGTCGGCATTTATACACATGCCATCAAATATTCTAGCATTATCACTTGCGGCCACGTAGGTTCAAAAATAATCTCTAATGTTCACGAAGTGGGTGTAATAACAAAACAGTCTACTACAGTCTTGAAGCTTCCCGAACACTGTTAGCGCATATTGCACTGAACATAGCGTAACGGGTGATAACGATCCTCAGAAAAAATGTGGCATTGCTTCCCTCTAAAAAGGCCTCGTCTCGATGCTTTAACAAAAGATGATAGTACAAAAACAATGCGAGAAAGTACAAGCAATAAATTACAATATAGCAGTAACAACAACAATAAAATACACTCTTTCAGTTAGTTAGCATGCATGGTCTGGCTTGAGGCGTGCGACATGGGCGACTTCATGTCGCGATCAACGCCGTTGAGATGCCGTCAGGGACAACCTTGTAGTCAAGTAGGCAGAGACATCATACTACCCTGTATGGTCCGAAGTACCGTTACAGAAGAAGTTTCAAAGACGATAGTCTTTCTTGGGGACCTTCGACGCAAAAACTTTGGTCCGTCTGTCTGTACATTTGTCTGTTTGCCCACCGTTACAGGGAACTGGGTACTCTAAACAGCACCAGCCGATACCCCGAACGGCCGACCCCATCCGCAGCACCCACCAATGTTGCTCAAGGATCAGCGTTCATACCTGTGCGATTGTCAATTAAAAAGCAATTATCGCACATATCTGAGGCACCATAACAACATGTATATATTCTGCATGTTCGTCTTTTACTAGAAAAGGCACACATAAGTAATTCTAATGACCATAACGCTTATCACGCTGTGCTGAGCATGCAACCCTTACACGAAAAAGCGAGTGTTTCCAATGCTTTGCTAAGAAGACACGATGGTGGCACCTACCTACACCTTAACATCTCTGAGACGGGCGCGCCTGCCCGTCTCAGGGCCACGCGCTTTGTTTTCCAAATAAAACTGCCAGGTGGCGCTCATGTCTCACGTGTGACGTGACTTGATGCACTCGTTCGCCGCTCGAGGCACTCTAACAAGTGCCTCTGGAATACCATTCACTGATTTTCTTGCGCAGAACATCAAATAAATGTTTGTTCACTTTCTCCACAAGCAAGACTATCGTATTTCGATGACATTTGCAGATTACATGCATATATGGGGCCACTTTTTTTCACTGAGTTCACTTCAGCATATCGGCGTCCACACCCAAACGCGTTCACCAGGCAGGTATTCTATGCAGCGTCATCGCAGATTGTAACCAGGGCTGTCGGTCTCCTGCTGATTCTTGATGTGTAGGCGGGCGAGTTGATGAGCTGCTTCTGCACGCAGAAGCTAGATGGTGACGTTAAGGTTTTCTTCATCAGCGACGATTGGCAGCATGGCATCGAAAGTCGTTGTCGGATTTCTTTAGTATGATGCTTGTATGGTGAAATCTGCGATGTCTCCTGCACCGCCGTGCTGTATCCGAAGGTTACGTACGAAAAGATGGCGTCCCGCATCTTGTGTTCAACGTTGACATACACGGCCAGCATGTCAGTAATGACCTTGTATAGCCACTCAGTGAGACCGTTGGTCTGTGGGTGGTACGCAGTCGTCCGGCAGAGGCTTGTCTGACTGTATGTCAAGATCGCCTAAGTTAGGTCAGATGTAAATGCCCTACCGCTGTCGGTGATGAGGGCCTTCGGCGCGCCGTGATGATGATGTGTGGTGCTTAATGGCGCAAGGGCCAATTGATGGCCAAAGAGCACCACGTCATAAGACATCAGATGAGAACAATGAATATGTTGAGCGGCTGTATAAGGGCCTTAGAATTCCTCGCGCTAAGGCGGGTAAAACATAGAAGTGATAAAATCATGACAGTGACGTGAAATTTGTAGTGAGAATGGATGGCCATGGGTTCTGTTAAAAAAGCGTGATGGAGATAATTGGCACTAGCACACGTACCTCGTCACTGCCCTTGTGTCCAAGGGCAGCGAGACAGGTGCTTTTAAATGTAGCCATCGCAACAGCAGCCTCTTTTGAGAGGCTGTGCTACGCGATGCCTGGGCATATTACATGAAAAGTGCGGACATCTCTTAAAAAAGCCATCACTGATTTATGACTGAAAAGTGGTTTCCTACCGACGAACATTGCAGGGTGAAGTTGTATCTGTTGTCGGTAGGGTAATGGAAAGTGTTGCCATGGAGTGTCTAATTGTTCACACTGAATAAAAATGTGAAGCAACGTTAGTGCTTCACCACATCTGTCACATAGTGGTGGATCACCACGAGACAAAAGGTATGAGTAAGTCATGTATGTGTGTCCTATTCTGAGCCTTGTTAGCGTTACCTCTGTACGAAGTTACTTCGATACTGGCGGCCCGTTACCAAGGTGTGGCTAATAACGTGAAGTTTGTTTTGTGTGCGTCTATCCAACGTGCTCTGCCACTATTCTCTGAGCATTTGTTTGAGAGAGGGTTTAAGGTCAAGCGCTGGGATAGATATGTGTGTAGTGGTAGTGCTTTGGTGGACTGATGCGGCAAGCTAGTCTGCCATCACGTTGCCTTGGAATGTAGCACGACTAACAAGGTTGAAAAATAACTCTGGCTTCCCACAAACAGGCCAGATGACACAGGACAAAAACAGACTGATTAAGTGGCAGGAGTGCCACCGGTTATTTTATTTATTTGTGGGGAGAGATTGGGTGTGCCGCCAAATCTTCCACCCCCCCTTGCAATCACTGTGTCCTGGAAGGCCATTTTCTATTCAGCAAGTGCTGAGGACTAACACAACCTACGTTAATTCAGTTTTTAGCTTAAACTTAACGAAACCATGGCTGAAGACAACACTGTTTTACCGGCATTTAAAACCTGTGATAACACTGGTTTTTCATTTGCGGCCGAGTGCGTGGCTCAGTTTCTACGTATATACGTTGGCTTGCCACCACATTACGTCGGTTTCGCAATCAAGACGAACACAAGCGCTTAGACACACGTGAGCAGCAGCCGTACCACATCGTGGCAAAATGGGCTGAGTGGGCATTTAGGTTTATTTTCGTGATAGGTGCACCAAAGAACATTGCAAAAAGCAATTAAGTGACATTTACTTTTTTTGCGAAATACCGGCCGAGCCTTCATTTGTGTGAAGCTTACAGCGCACAATACAAGGGGTGCAACAGCTGAAATACAATATGGAGCACTCTTTCGAGCAGCAAAATGTTAACTTTGGAGCACAAAAATCTAAATTTGGAACAGGTTACATAAAAAATTCATACATTTTTTAATCATGAAATACCATATTTCGAGCAGTGTAAATAAAATTCGTCCTGGTCCCGGGTTCGAACCCCGGACCAGGACAAATTTTTCAGCAACTAAGAGGCTTTTCTTTCTAAAAAGTTCATAAGGGTTTGTTTGCGGCTTTGTGTTACAATCAGGTAGTTGTCTTCTTTCCCTTACTTAAACATTGAGAGTTTCTGCAGAACTCATTTTCATCACTTGTGTTTATGTGCTGCAAGTTGTCGATGAATTCGCCCTTGCACTGTCAATCGCTGGCTTCCTGGTTAGCTCAATTGACAGAGCGACAGCCCCGGATAGGCGTTGGTTTCGGGTTCGAACCTTGGACCAGGATGAATTTTTCGGTAACTAAGAGGCTAATTTTCTTTCTGAGAGAGAGAAACGAGAAAAAAGGAAGGCAGGGAGCTTAACCCGATGCTAGTACCAGTGCTTTCTGAGAAATCTGTACGGATTTCCTTGTGGCTTCGTGCTACAATCAGTAGGTTGTCTTCTTTCCCTTTCTTAAGTTTTATATGTTTTGTGATCAAGATGAAGTTTTATTGTTTTTCAAAATCAGGAACTAGGTGGTAGCTTACAGGTCACAAGGACCCACAGTGAGGTGATAGCTATTGCTGTCAGCAACCCAACTAAGACTGAATAATTAGCTTTCAGAAACTGCAGTAAGTGAGCATGTTTCTGTCGAATAGTTAGAGGCGGTCATGTTTCTACACAGTTCTACTTGGCGGGATTCACCTAGCATGTCCATGGTCCGATTTGTCCAGTTGCAAAGTGTAATGGCAATTTACATGGTTTTGCACCCACGCATCGACGATCAGAACAATGTTACCAATGCCTGATGTGCCCTGCAGCCATTCCTTCATGTTCAGTAGTAAAAAAGTCATCATATATGTCCATGCTTCTGTCCTGTTGCAAGAATAAAATTCAGCACACAACAGCCACCGGGAAAAACGCTAACTGGTGCAGTAGAAGTCTTGAGTTCTTAAATATCCTAGATAAAGGTGACTATGGCATAAAAAGGATACAATGATCAGTGATCCTCCTAGTAGAAACATGTAGAAAAAGTCGGCCGTCCTTCCTCGAAATGAGCCTTCCTCGAGCATGCGGCAGTACCGGACGGTGAAGAGCATGTTGAAAAAGAAGGCAAAGCCAAGAGTGCCAAAAAACAGGAAAGTGGTTATCAGTCTCCATACCTGCACAAGGAGATTGGGGTATATTATTGCAGCTGAGATCCATACACACCAACGCAGCAATTCAAACAAGCTCGAAGCAGTCTAAGCATGTTTGTGCAACATGACACAATACAAGGGTAAGAGTATGTAGGTTCCCTCGCTAAACGAGGGTAACACATTTCACAAGCCAGGAAAGGTGGATAATGTGCGCCGGCCGTGAGGTGACCGGTCTCTTTGAAAGAGGCTTCATTGTCTCGTTTCTCGAAGGGACAGACATGTCCTCTCAACTAAACTGCCACGCTGCCGCAAAAGGGAAAGGAACCATATGGGCGCACATGCTTCCCCACTAAGTATGGTTGCTACTTTTGCTTTTTACAGCACGAAAGCACATCTTATGCCACACACAAGCAAAAGCTGGCAGATTTAAAGGGGCACTGACACAAAAACTTTGGCCTCGCTTTTTCTTTCTGCGATGTGTTGCAGAGACCTGTCATTTGTAACACAGCACATCGTTCAACACAGCATGCGACCGATAATTATTTACAAGCCACTCGTTATCAACCAGTTTCAGTTAGCTCCAAAACTACAAGCTACTGGGTGCAACAGTCAGCACCCAGCATGTGCAGCTCTCGACCTTGTCGACACACAGATGCACTTCTGCACAGTCCACATCAACAAGCCCTTTCGAACAAAATCCGGAACAGCAGTGTCGCCATAAATGCATGTGTGGTGGCCACACACTAGCGAACAGCCAGCGAGAAGTATAGACTGCTGGAACTATAGTGGACTATTCAAAATTGCTACTCGCCACTTGGCGGTTGCGCGTGGAAACGGTGCTAACAGGCTTAACCTTGAAAAGAAATGTGCTACCACGTTGCGTGCATTGAAAAACGGCCTCATAGTCCCTTTATTTTCCCATGCCGCAGGTGCGAGCCCAAAGAAGAAGAAAGCAATGTCCAAAGACCCTGTTTGTATGCTGCAATGCGTGGCATTGCAGTGTAAAGATGGCAGTTTACTGTTTTGTAGCGAGGTGACGGCGTCTGACATAGATCTGCCGTCATCGCTGGTTTAATGAAGAGGACGAGACATACAGGAAGCGAGCTGCCGAAGTAGAGTGGCGGCCGTGGCGTCCATCCAGCCAGAAGCACACGAACATTCCAGGTGCCTCACCCCACGAGCTACCAGCCTCGTCATCTTTTTCTCTAGCCGGCTGGCTGCAACTAGGGCTACGTTAAAGTTTCATCACTTGCCAAAGAATGCAGACGAGGCACGATGGAGAACAGCGTTGATAAGAAACTTGCGCATTGGGAAGAAGGTGATGGACGCTATGGTGGTTTGTTCTCATTGATTCGCTAGCGACAACTTCAATCTTCCCGGTGAATACACCATTATTTAGTATGTGTGCATTCCAGTCAGCATTAGGGTTCACTAAGCCCATAGCATAGTTTCGTTTCTATAAACAAGCACTTTAGGAAATTTGTTGCATTATGTGTGTTAGTGTATTTTTGCATTTGCTTGTTTTCTGTGGAAGTCGTAGTGCCACCTCTTCCCGAATTGGGCTGCTCTCATCCATCCCTCCGAAAATTCTTGATCTCACATGTGCGTATATACACGTCCACAAACGCGAATACTATACATAAAGTATGTGTGTACCTCACCGAAAAAATCTTTCGCTATGCCCTAATCAATGATGCACGTTTTTTTCCGCGTGAACTCTAGAAGTGAAACCAAAAATATATTTAGTATGCACAAACGTACGATGTTTATGCCTGTGTCTGCTCTGCGGTGTCTACAGAGGGTCATGTGTTTTTTATTAAACACTGTGCACTAATACCTTTAGGCTCGTAAGAAATTTAAGAGGAACTGCAAAAGGCAATCGTTCCGGCTTTTGGAGCATTTGACTCATGGGCGCATCACTTGGTTCCTTTCAGACACAGTGTAGTGCAACTCATCTTGAACAGGCTTGTTTCCGAATCATGCATTTATCATCATTCCAATGAATAAGTGATTGCTAATTTACGGAAACCTAGAGAGATTAATTAAAAAAATTAGTTATGAGTTTCTATTATTTATTTATACTTTCACCAAGGTCATACAGCTGACATTAATGTGTGGACGGGGTCAGGCTTAAGCACCCTGTATACGAGTTCGCGCACACGTAGTGTAGGTGTATATATGTACGGGCGTGTGTAGTGTGCATGCATATATCTGCTTTGAATATCAAGTGCTGCCAACACGAACAAACGAGTGCTGGAAAACACATGAGCTAATAAGATGAATCAGCAAAGAAAAAGAAAGGAGCACTCCTATTACAATTGAAACTATGATCCGCCTAGTCTCAAGATACACTTACCTAGGCATAGCACTGTTTTGTAATCAAGCGAACGGCATGTGTATTCAGCTTTTACGGGACAACAAAACTAAATGAGTACATGCAATCGGCAGCACAGGTCCCAGCACAGAGTTGCCTCGAAAACTGTTAATGGGGGACTGACACAAAAACTTTGTCCTCTTGTTGCTGATATGCGTTGCTAACACTGTTAGTCATAACTAGAGACCTGATTATAACCAAATGCCTATTTGGTTTCCTGCGTTCCTATTGCCCCACTTTGACATGTGAGCATGAATTAGAGGCTAAGAAAAGCTTTTATAGCGTTTTTATAGTGCCTATAAATGCTTATTTTGGACGTTTGAGCCTAAATTCCTATAAGTGCCTATAATTGCCTATTTTCTAAAGTGGTGCCTATATGAATGCTATTTACCCTTAAATCTTGCTTTCGAGTACAGTTGGAGACCAATATTTATGTTACCAGGCAAAACTGAGCTTTCGGAACTCTGTGGGTTGCAACCTATACTCCATTTCATAAGTTCCTTTCAGCACTGTCAATGCTACGAGGGCCCCACTGCGGTGGTCTAGTGGCTAAGGTACGCGGCTGCTGATACGCAGGTTGCAGGATCGAATCCCAGCTGCAGCGGCTGCATTTTCGATAAAGGCGGAAATGCTGTAGGCTCGCGTGCTCAGAACTGGGTGTACGTTAAACCCCAGGTGGTCTTTGAGTAACCGGCAAAAGGAAAGCGCGTTTCTGGCTCCTGCATCGGTAGACCAAATAATTCATGTATTTAGATCTATAAAAAGCAGTAAGTGCAGTGACGTTGATGGACTTCAGATTCATCTCATTAAGCACGTTCTTGAGATTATTGCCCCAGCACTAGAACACGTTTTTAATGTTGTTTTCACTAATGAAGTTTTTCCAAAGGCTATACAAGTGGCTAAGGTCATTGTTTTACATAAAGGTGGGGATAAGAATGTGCTTTTTGAATACAGACCTATATCCATCTTACCATATTTTCAAAGGGCCTAGAAAACTTAATTCACGTTCACATGAATTATTTTCTTAATAAGCACCAAATAATAACACTGTCACAGTTTGGTTTTCAGAAAGGACTCTTGACAGAACATGCTCTTTTGACACAAAAGGAGAAAATACTTGATGCCTTTGAACGTGAGCAATGTGCTCTGGGCATTTTCTTTGATTACTCCAAAGTATTCGACCTCATTAATCATGCAACATTGAACAAAAAAACTCAGTCAATAAGGTTTCCGTGGCGTACTTTTAAGATTACTTCACTCTTACGTTTTTTGCCACCAGCAGAAAGTGATAGTGAACAACCATTCTTCTGCCTTAAAACCTCTAAACTCAGGGCTGTCACAAGGAAGCATCTTGGGACCACTCTTGTTTCGCCTATATATTAACGATCTCGTAAACATTGAATATTCTATTGACTTTGTCATTTACGTTGATGATAGTACCATACTAAATACATGAAGAAACCCGAGCGAAGTACTAAGCAAATTATCAGCCTGGTCTGCTGCTGATTCTCTTGTAATAAACCCTACTAAAACAAAAGTCATTATTTTTAGACCCAAGAATCATAAAATTGACGCCAAATGTGTCCTGAAGTTTCAGGATTCATATATTCATTTAGTATCTACAGTTAAATGCCTAGGCCTTTTCGAAAAGCACATGTCATGAGATCCTCACGTTGTCGCTGGTATATTGTGTAAGGTGCATTATTCCCTTCCCAAAACTGCGAAGTTGCTCATTTATAACTCTTTATTTCTCTCAGTTTTAAGTTACTGCTTCCTAGTATGGGGTACTTCAACTGCTTCTAACATGGGGAAACTACACATTATAAAAAAAAAGCCATTCGAGCCATTGCAAATTCTTCACACAATAGTCATCCAGAACCACTTTTCCGCGAGTTACATTTGGTCACACTTCTAGACCTATATGAACATATCCTCATTAAACGCTATGAATAAGAAGTTAGAAAAAGATATCAATCCCTTACAAGCATCGCTTACCTGTCACTTAACGTACAAACAGTACATAGACGTGACACCAGATTTCAAGAAATATGGAAGGTTCTGCGTTGCAGAATTACTTATGGGAAACAAAAGTTGTGCGTACAGTTACCACATCTTCTGAATAAACAAGCTTTGTAGCGTGTGCGTCTTATCGGCTTTCATTTTTCGTGCTTCAAGTCTTTACTGTTGCTATTCTTTTTCTCTTCTTTATTTTTATGTGATTGTTTTTAGCAGCAGAATTTTGCTCGTGAAGCTTAGCCTCTATTAGGTATTTAGGTTATTGACTTCATTACTATATTTTTCACTTTTGTTAAAACAGTGTATTATGTAAATTTGTATTACTGAATTTCTTTTTGTATAGTGTTTTTTTTTATTTACTTGTACTCCAGTACTGCATTATGTTGCTAGCTACGTACTGCTTGCTGTATGCCAAATCCTATGGTCATTGGATGCTTTCAAGCCCATTTTAAAGGCTTTTTGTCCACTGCCCACAACATCACTGTACGCTGCATCTCGATGTTGAAAATAAACTGAAACTGCAATCTGTCGAAACTTCCGGAGCCCTCCACTATGGTGTCTATCATGAACAAATGATGGTTTTGGGACGTTATACCGCCCATATCATGTCTATCAATGCTACAAGGCCTCCTAG